CGGAGCCTTATGAACTACAGACCTGGCATTTAGCAACAACAGCCTGAGATCAGGGTCCTGATTACTCGTGCCATCTGGCCTTGGAGTGGGGCTCATAGGGCTGGAAGGAGGGATCTCTGTAATGTAGCGAGCCCTCCTTCCCCGGTAACGGCCAGCCCTAAAGTCCCCGCCATATCTGCCCCTCCCTGTTACGACCGTAATGCTCCGGCCCACTCCCGTGTCCGCAATTCCCCCAACCACCCCAATGACCCCCGCGTTCCTCGGCAGGTCCTCCGAATCAAACACACTCATTTGTTCACCCAAGCAGTCCCTTTCCATTTGCTCCTAAGACTTCTGTCCATAGAGGGGAAAACATGGTATATTGTCTTCTCATCTGGAAGCACCTGAATATTTCAGTAACTGAGAGACCGTTCTATGTGGTTTTGTGTATCAATCTTACATTCTGGCTATAGTGATTTTTTACCCAATTTTCCCTCTCTTGGCAGGTCTTTGGGTGTGACTATCTGGGAGCTGTTTGAGCTGGGTGGCCAGCCCTACTGCCATTATTCCGATCGGCAAGTCCTCACTTATGCTATCAAAGAACAACAGCTTAAACTTTCCAAACCACAACTTCCGCTCTCGCTATCTGATCGCTGGTGAGTAACTAGGTGGGGACAAAGGGTTTTTTAAGGACAAGGAAGAGAAAAGGGTGATTGGAATATAGGGACAAAGATGGTGGAGGGAAGGAGAACTTCTTGAGTAGGCGTTCAACCTACTCGAACATGTAGGCATTCATCGTATTTGAATAAGCAAATATCATGTTTGATGGTTAATGTGTTAACTCTTGTGCATGAATGAAAGATGGTTTGACAGATAAAGGTAGCTCTTGCTTAACAACTGGTCACTTAGTGACTGAAGTGACAATGGACTGACTCAGAACTACATATAACCCGCTTTTGAAGGTCATGTGATTGCATTTTGTGAGCTGGGCAACTGGCTGGGATTTATGTCATAGTCATGTGACTGTGATTTTTGTATGTTTGGGGTTGGTTTCCAGTGTCTACTTCCAGGGTCTGGCAAAATAAAAAAGCCCATTGGGGAAAACAGACTCCGTTAATGACCATGGTGTTCACTTAATAATGCAGTATTTGCTTAAAAATCAGAATAACAGAATTGGAAGGGACTTTGAAGACCTTATAGTCCAACCCCCTGCTCAAGCAGGAAACCCTCTACCATTTCAGACAAGTGGCTATCCAGTCTCTTTTTAAAAGCCTCAAGTGATGGAGCACCCACTACGTCTGAAGAAGGCAAGCCGGTCCACTGATTAATTGTTCTTACTGTTAGGATCATGGCAAAAAGGGCTGTAAAATTGTTGGCAGTCATGTGGTGATCCCCTTAATGACGATTGTAATTCTGGGCTCAGTTGCAGTCGTAAATCAAGCACTACCTTTGCCTGCCTAAGGAGTACAGAAGTGCATATGATGAGAAGGAGTTAGATGTCTTGAATATGAGCCAGTAGGGCAACCCAACTGCTAAAAAGGCTGAGATAGTCCTAAGCTGCTTCTATAGAAGCATAGTATCTAGCCCAGAATAATGTTTTGTCTAGGCCATCTCTGGACCACCATCTTAACCTTTGATAAAGATTTTTGCAGTATGGATGGGGCCAGGGTGTTGATTGGAGCTGGGAAGCAAATCCTATCAGAAAAAGGCTTGTTTTCTTCGGATGATTTTTTTTTATCTCTCCCCCCCCCCCCCCCCCCCCCCCCCCCCCCCCCCCC